TGATACCAAAATAAAATTTTTAAAAAAAGTTGTAATCAAGAAGGGGAGCTTTCTAAACAGAAGCTGTGACTCTCCACAGCCACTAAATAGACATTAAGACTGAAGAGATTGTCAATGGAATAATGTAATATAATGATGCTCCATTAACTGAAATAGCCCTGGACTGAACTCCTATGCCAGCTTTGCACTAGGACGAAACGGATCCAGCTTGACAGGACCGCAAAGTTAAAACAGAACAAAACAACCTACCTGGTTGGCAAAGCTGGACCTGACGGTCGTTGGCACACACTCCTCCAGGTCGGCATCCTCAAAGATGATGGCAGGATTCTTGCCCCCCAGCTCCAAGGAGAGCTTCTTGCAGTGGGGAGCACTCAGCTGTGTGATCCGCTCAGCCGTGGGCTGGCTCCCAGTGAAGGAGATGAGGGGAACCTCTGGATGGGATGCCAGGGCTTCGCCTGCCCTGGGCCCCGTTCCGAACACAATATTCACCACACCTGGTGGAACACCTGGATGGAAAGAGCATCAGTTACAGGAAGACTTCTCCCTATTTTGAGGACTTAGGTTATATGGAGATGGTCCATTAGTTTGGATGGCAGTTCGAGTAACTTCTACAGCTGTCTCCAGTTTAGCAAAGCAAAGACTATATAGCATTGTGTCTGCCTATAGGACACCCTAGGTGGGATTTCTCTGGATGCTTTATCCTAGAAAAATGCAAGGTAGAACATTCTACATAATTCATTCCATAATATTGACTAGGCTTCAGAGGCTGAGGATGCAGAATATCTTCAGGCAGGTCAGGCCCCATGAGGGAGAAGAATGCCCCCAAATAGGTGCCCCGATCTTTTCTATCATGAGACCCTGCTGCCCTATGTCTGCATTATTTATTCATGCATTTTATGGATTTACTTTTATTACCTATCCACCCTAGCAGGTATACTCACTGAGGGCAGAAGTGGTATCTGCTTCTTGCTCCCCATCATCTCCTCTGTGCCATGGCCTAGTTTGCCACATGGAATTCATAGCAGCAAATGCTTGTGTTTTTCTGAATGTTCACTGTGCAGCAGCCATTGTGTTAAGTGATTTGCTCCCTTTAGATCTCCCAAAAACCCTATGAGGTGAGAAGTATTAGTTCCCTCACTTCACCCTTGAGAAAACTGAGGCAGAGTGAGGCTAATAACAACTAGTAAGGGGCAAAACTGGGTGTAGAAAGTTAATAAATAATTGTTAAGTAAATGAATAGATGAATGCTTCATGTACACTATGCACCTTAGAAATGTTGACTTTGGGAGGCTTTAAGTATCCAGAAAGAATATCTGTGTGCAACTGTGTTGGGTACAGAAAGCTCTTAGGGCTTGTTTGGTGGCAGCTTTGTCTATTTCCTCCGATTTTTCAGGCTTGAACGACAGTAGTGGCAGAAATCCCCCAATGTGTAAGGTTTGTGAACTACTTCCCTGCCCGTTATCTTTCTCTCACTCCAGGAAAAACAGTCTTTCCTCCATGGAAACACACTCTTTAATTAAAACTATCTCTTCAAGAATACGATTTTAAAGTATCAATAACAAGTTCTCACTGACAATCATTATCATTCAGAACTCCTTCCCAAAGAACTGGAGCCTTAGCCCACCACCTTGAGGGGCCCGTGTGAGTGAGCCCCTAAGGAGACAGAGGAGAAGAGGCAATGCCTCCTGATGGTGTCTGGCAGACCCTCTCCTCTAATGGTTCCACCTCTACACTCCACGAACATAGTCATTGGAATCTAGCTTAGGTCAGTCCTGGATCATAGGTCACTGCCCAAAGAGGGCAGGCCTAGGGCCAGGCGCCATGTGACAGCAGCTAAGCCCTGGGTTAGGGCAAAGAAGGGGCACAGGGGAGAGGCCCTCCCAGCAGCTGATGATGGAGGAATAAGGACTAGTTTCTCACCATTTGCAGGATGGCGCCCTGAATCCCCATCAAATACTGGGCATGTGCATATCTGCCCCTTATTTGGTTGGGAATTTGGGGGCTGACGAAAGTGGATTACTGGACTTTATAAATCCTGAAAGCACAGAAAATGGATCAAATCACTTCTAATGTTCACAGTAGCTTTTTAACAAAGGGTGAAAGAAAACAGAGAAACTCTGCTAATGAGCTCATTTTATCGGGCTGATTGCCTTCTACACAACAGCATTTACATTCTGATTACGTTTCCCTGAGCTCTGATGTTAATCTGTTAAGAGTTATCTACTGGCCATTAGTTCTCAGTACCAATTTGCCATTTGATCCAAACATTGATGAAATTTTTCTAGAGACATCTGCCCTCTACCCTTAAGAAAGTCTAATTATAAGAGAAGGGAGGCAGCTTAATTGACAACTAACAATTCAGTAAAACTCAGAGTAGGCGGCTAACAGACAGCGATGAGAATGAAGTCCCCCTAAAGTTAGGATGTGGCAGGGTGACAACACAAAGAACTTGAAGCTTAAATAGAACAGAACAAAAATCAAAGGAAGGGCCAGAAATCCGTCATCAGTGGGCTCTCCGGGATAAGGGCAAATGTTTGGTGCCTCCAAGAAAAAAATGAATATTCTCAGACTCTCAAAGAGGTATTCACAGTGTACTTTCTCAAACAATTTTGTTTCAAAGGAAGGTCATCTGTCAAGTCTGTTCAAATGCTCAGTACCAGAGGAGCCAGCTCTTTAAATATCAGTTCCTTTCCTTACACAGCTTAAGGTTTCTCTTCCAGTGCAGGAGTGGGTAGATGTGACTCACACCTCCTCCCAATTCCAGTGAAGAACCTGAGGACTGAAGGCCCGTGCAATCTGAGAGTCCCACTCTCAGTGTTTGTCAGAGGAGAAGGTTTGGCAAAGCCAGCCCTGGGTAAGAGGGAAGAACCAACAAAGCTTATTTGTTCACAAGAAATAAGATCAATACTGTGCAAATAGATGGAAACATAAAACTCTCAGGCAGGTGCAGGTTCTGAATATATGAAAGGAGAGAATACTTTGGACAGAGAAACCGTCATAGATCAAGATGTGGTGGATGTTAGGAGAGAATGGATTTTGGGAAAATGGCTCTGTGGCACTAACCCACCTCCAGGTGTGCCCTTCCCAAAAGGGATGGAAGCAAAGAGCAGACCCCATGTCTATCCTACTCAGGGAAACTTACAGGCAACAGGCAGAGAAGAAATGCCTTGGACCTTTGAAGACACTCTGAAGACTCATTTTAGCAAAGAAAGGGATTAGAATGTGATCCCTCATAAAAAGGACGGATGACACATTTTGGACATGAGACAGGTAAGCACACTCCTATCAGACACCCTCCAGAGGCCTCACTTCCATTCCAGAGACCTGGGCTGGGGGGCCTCACTTCTCTGTAGGACACAAGGGAGCTGGCCAGCCACCCTGGAGTCCTAAGGCCCAGTGTGCTTCCCTGAACAGGCACAGAGTGAAAACCTGGCTCAACTTGCCTGGAAGACAATGTGCACAGCTTTGCATAAAGAGAAAAGGTATCCAGAAGAGGGAGAGATGGGATCTGCCCAACCACCCCCACTGGGGATGCAGACAGGCGAGGCCGGCAGCACTGCCCTATGGCCTTGCAGGAAGTGGCACAGCAGAGTGAGAGAACCACAAAGACAGGCTGTCCCTGCCACCCACCCATCATCCCTACCCAGGAGGTATGGAGACCTGAGCTGAGGAACCTCATAGTGAGGGGCTTTCCTGCTGTTACCTCCCACCCTGGTGCAGTGTCAGGCTGTGCCCGGGCCAAGTTACTAACTGACTACTAGTCCTGCCCAGAATTAAGCCAGGAACACACCCTGAACATGGCCATTAGAGTACTGGCAGGAAGAGGACAAGAAGCCGTATTTTATCAGCTTCTGAGTAGCAGCTCCAAATGCAGAGAAGGCTGAGGGATGTATATTCCCATCTCTTGAAAATGGGCTGTTATTATCAGGTATTCTGCAGCCATATGAACCAGAGATGTACCTAGCAACATTCTTATTTTTATCAACATTAACTTGTAGTTCAAACATAAGACTTAAATGGGCTGTCGAGGGCTCCCTGGAGCAGGATCGTGTCTGATTTGATCGGGCTCTCTGCGCCTGTGGTTGCATTACTCTTGTGTACCCCTCCTGTTGCCAGCCAACCTCCCACAGGGAGGAACCCTTCCTGCAGCAGCACCTTCTAGAGTAGAATAGAGGAAGCACTGTGAGCCAAGCTTGCGGATGAAGGGGACTTTGCAAAAAGAATCAGAAAGACAAAAACCAATGTCAATGGGATTGATTTTGCTGCTGAACACATTTCTATCCAAGTACTTTTCTAATGTCAGTGACCCTAAGGTAGCTGAAGCCCACAGAACTGACAAGCCAGAGCCAACCCTGTGCCTCCCTTAGCCCCATGCCTTATTACCTGCTCTCTCCAGGAGTTTGCACATCATCCACGCGGTCACTGACGTCAGCTCGCTGGGCTTGGCTATCACAGTGTTGCCAGCGGCTATAGCTGGCGCTATCTTCCAGGTCAGCAAGTAGAGTGGCAAATTCCAGGGACTGATCAGACCAGCTGGAAGAGGAAAGCAGACACACTGCCACCAATGGCCTGCCCCTCAAAACAGACTGGCCCAGCAGGGCTCATGACTGTGCAACTCCTTCATGCTGCAGGAAACTACGCTTATTCTTCTCAAACCTCAAACTCTTGCTTCTTTGTAGCAAACTTCAGGAAAATACTTGTAAAATGTATTATTAAGGCCAATACACTTTACTCTTTTCCTGATGACTTACAATTGTATTTATGAACACCAGCAATATAAATTCCAGGGCTAAAGGCTGTCACTTTTCTCTAACCAATTCTAGAATGTGATGCTTTTTGAGATTTAAAGACTGACCTTCACAGTTTTTTAAACTTCTCCCTCCTTCCTCATTATTATACTCTCTACCTACTATTTCTTCAGAGCTTCTCCATCACTGCTTCTAGTCTGTTGTGGCCTGAGACATAAAATCTCAAGAATTTTAGAATTATTTGTAAAATAAGAGTAAATGTGGAGGCCCTCCTATTAGCAAAGCCAAGGAACTTTAATGCATAGACTGCAAAATCCATTTTGGTGAGCCAACGAGTGTTTGACAAAAATCTCTCTCTAGGTTCTCACCTGTAACCTGACCAAATACCTTTTCCTGGATAAGTAATAGAACCAACATCTTGAGGCTTCCAACCAAATAAAAACACAAAAATAGATTTTACCTTATGAATAAGTAGATTCACCTTATTTTCTACTCTCCCCTCAAGCCTGTGTTGTGAAAGTAAGCATATATTTTATGTTATTAAATTTGTCATTGGAAACTCTGCTCTTTAGAGAGTAACAAGATTTTTTTAGCATATGTAGTAGCATAGCTCTTAGGGGGAGGCTTGAGCTTTTTATAATGCCTTGAATATATGATTTCTGAAGGGTTCAAATAATCAAGGTGGTAAAATGTCCCATTTTCTTTCCTTTTAGCTTCTACATTCTTTTATTGATTCATAAAATGTAATTAATAAAATTGGGGGTTTCTGAGGAAACAGTGACATCTAGTGGGTATTTTGAGTCATTGGTAATAAGTGCATGTCCTTCATAGGAAGGAAGCAGCTAATTAAGTCATTTATTCACCAGTACCTGGCGCTCTTCTAAGTTCCATACACTTATTAATTTAACTCACATAAAAATATATAAATTTAAGATTAAATTATTCTCCCAATATCTCAGGTAAGAATATTGCAGCACGCAATGTTATGAATTTGCCCTGCACATATTCAAAATCCATTTTTTAATCACTCTGCAAATTGACTTCTTTTTCTTTTTAATTTTAAGGGCAAAAAAATCCTGGCATGTGAATTTACTCTCTGCTGAGAATAAGGGAATTTGACAGAAGGAAAATAGAATAGAAAGTGATTTTTGAGGCCAATTACTTTTCAGTCAAAGTAGAAATCGACTATCCCTTGTCTTAGTCTGTCATTTAGATCAATTCTACAGGACTGATGACTGAAAGTCCCTGTGCACCAGTGTGGCCCAGGCTCTCACTGGACAGCACCTACCGATGCCCACAGGGGCCTGCACAGTGTAATGCAGACAGCCCAGGGGGTCCATCTGTGAGCACTCCGACGTGTGGTGCAGGATGGAGGAGGCAAAGAACCGGAAGTTCTGTACAGCCCGGGGGATGTCCATGGTTCTTGCCAGCGTAATGGTTTTCCCTGTAAGAAGGCAACCACAGAAAGCACTGTTACTTTAGTGGCCATGGAGACAGAATATTATCACACACACATCCCAACTCACAGTAAAGTAGCCTAGTTCCCTCCAGCCTGGGATGGACATCCCTTGGCTACACGGACAGTTGATCACGGTTTGATAAAACTATAAAGTAATGAGGTAGGACATTATACGATGAGGTGGAGGGGGTTGAAGTTGAGTCAAATCATCTTACTTTGTGGGCTGAACAATCATTGCTGTCATCATGAATTTGCCAGATGCTACCACTTCACCCACACTAACTCTTCCAATTCAAAAGTAGCAAGCTTTGTACATGCTACAAAGGGGCTGGAATAATGGGTGTTAGGACAGCTATATTTGCACATCACAAAAAAAAAACTCTGATAAACACATGATATATATTAAACGTGCTCCCAACACATGGAGTCTTTAAGATGGACAGGTGGCAGAACCACTGAGGGGAAGCCCTGGTGCAGAATGTTGTGTGGCACTTGGTCACCGGTTGCATGCCCCGTGACTGAACTAGATCCTGGATTGAACAAAAAGAGAAACATATGCTTACCTCAATTGCTCCTTAGGTTATCTTTAGTGATACAGGGAAGACTGCACAATTCAGGAGCACCAGCAACAAACATTTTCATCTAAAGGGTTTGGAGTCAGGTTGCTTCCCAATTTTAGGCTGGTGTATGTACAATTTTTTAAAACATTGGCTTTTTCTAACAGATATTACTGCAAAGACTTACAGACATGTATTCCATTATCCTGACATCTGGGAAGTTTAAAACATTGGGAGATTGTGTTGGGTAGGGGAATAGTGCCTGACATGTCAGAAATCTTTCTAAGCAGCTTGACCCTTAAGTGCTTTTAAAAGTCTCTTTGCTCTGAAATGCCCCCTTAAACTTGGGGAGGATCGCTAGCTCCTCCTCTTTCTCCATATCCATGCCCTGTGCAGCTCCTTCCACCGAAGGGACAGTGTTTATTTCCCTACCCCTGGAACTTGGGTTCAGCCTGACTAGCTCTGGCCGTGGGAGTGATGCAAGCGCCGGCCTTCAAAGGCCTGGGACTGCTTTGGTCTCCAACTCCCCCTCTGCTGTGAGGAGCCCAGGTGTGGGCTAGCCTGATGGCCCAGGAGGGGGCGACATGAAGAGAGTGCCCTGAGTGCCACTCTTCCTTTAGAGGCAAGAGATCATGTGACAGACTGGAATGCGGGTAGGAATCGCCCTCTGCGCAATGCATTGCACTTTGCAGGGAGCTGTTCCTAAGAGCCAGCTGCGCTCCAACCGCGGCTGCTCACGCGAGCGCGTTGGGAAGACGGAGAGGCCGCTGGGACGGCTCTGCCCGGGGCCCGCGGGGCTCACCTTGGTCTTTAGATTCCGCCTGGGCGAACTCCTCCAGGGACCCCTCCAGCAGGTCGGCCAGCCGCCGCAGCACCTGCGAGCGCTCCTGGGGGCTGCGGGACGCCCAGCCGGGAAAGGCTGCCCTGGCCGCCTCCACCGCCGCTTCGATCTTCCAGGAGCAAGCGGAGAGGGGCTGTAAGACTGTCGTCCCGAGAGGGTGGATGAATCCAGAATCCGCAGGTCCATACCTAACTTTTTTCTGCCTAATCGCAAATACCCTACACTTTCCAGAGATGAGTACCCCCCAAAGTAATGTTTACGCGACGAGCAAAGCAGGGGCACCACAAAAATAAAGAAAAATGCTCTATTTCGACAGAGGTATCCGAAATGTGGCCATCAGAGCATTAAAAATAAACAATATGAATTTTAACAGATGTGTGCATTTTAGACCATTTCAAAACACAGATATTTTTCAATATATGAGAGGAAATGTAGTCTAGGTGTGTGGAATCAACTCAATATAACTCTGACATATCTGATGAGGTCTACAAGTCTTAGGCTGTTACTCTTGCTTGGGATGATTAACCATAATATTCATTTATTACCTAATTCTTATATATAAAGGAATATGCTAAATATTTTACACGAATTATTTCACTTAACCTCTTTTAAAATTCTCTAACATGAGCATTGCTGTGCCCATTTTACAGATGATGAAACAAGCACAGAATTTGCCAGAGTTCACACAGTTAATAAGTGGCAGAATTAGGATTCAAACCCAGATCCTCACTCCCAAGACCACACGCTGGCCTGCTATGATGTGACCACTGCCCCTGCTCCCTGTCTGGCTCCACCCAATGAAAGAGGCTCTGTGGGAGAGGGGGGCACTTGTGGCTGACCAGGCAGCTTGGGACCCTGGCTTTAGAGCTAAGTCCAAAAGGAAACAATATATGGAAAGGTTCGGGCATGGCCAATTCATGCACATAACATGAATTTTTGGGTTCTCTGCTGCCTTTCTTCTCTCTTAGGCACTGTCTCAGCAGTGCCTTGACCTGAGATAGCAAATCCACAGCCTGGGGCTCACCTCTCTGCTCTCTCACATGCATGACATTTATAATCACTCACAGCTGTCTTGAATTACTGGGCCCAGACCCACCCAGTCTCAGACTCCTTTTTCGCAGGCTTTAGGCAACCATGAGCATCTTCCTTGTAGCACTTGATCTGACAACTCAGCCACCTGAGCTATGCTAGCTCTCTTGTCCAAAATCTGATCAACACACCTCCCTTGTGTTCTTTATGCATTTTCAGCTCAGCTGATGTAAAGTATAAAATGATTCTTATTTTGATTATAAATTTCTGGAAAGATGGAGATTTCACCTTAAAAAACTGAATCTCTAATACAGACCTGCAGACAGGGTGAGGGAAGAGACATGGGCTTTGGTGGGTTCTTCCACAAACTGCAGCCTCACGGGTGCCCCACGGCCAGCCCACAAGAGGAGGGGTCATTCCTACAGCCATCCACATAAAATCTAATCTGCCTACAGTTGTCAATGTAAAAGCTAATCGTTTTGTACAGTCATGTTTCTAAGTTGTCTTATGTCACATCATATGTCTATTAATATAGAATACATGATGATCGAATATATACAATAATATTAGCAAAAGCTAATACTAAGTAAAAAGCATTTACTATATTCCAGACACACTAAGGGCTTTACATGCTATTAGTCTGTTTAATCCTCAGAACAGCACTGTAAAGAAATTATTATCCACCTTTTATACCTAAGGAGACAGAGGCACAAGGAAGTTCAGCTCTAAGTCAAGCCCATAGATGCTAAGCAGTACTACTGGTTTTTGAAGCCAGACAGTCTTACTTGAGCCTGTGCTTATGACAACAATGCTACCATGTAAATACCACCACAGGTGTGTGTGTGTGTGTGTGTGCACACATGCATGTGTCATTGATCAAAACATCAGAGATGAGAGTTTTAGCACACTGTCATCTATAAAATAAGCATGAAGACAGTCTTATCTGTAGGTTGTTACAACTCATATTTGAAACAAATCATGTTAAAGGGCTTAGTGAATACAAAGCACAGAGCAAAAGCTGAGTTAGTGGAGCCATTGTTAGCAGCCCCAGCAGCATTGCCTGAGAGTGTACTTGTGGAGAAACTGGGCATGCAGTTCACATGGCGACCTATTTTTCAAGCCAGATGAAAGCTTGGGACTTGTGGGATCAGATCACTTTTGCAAGTTGGATTGGCGGAAACCCGAAAAATCTATTCCTCTGCTAGCTGGGGCATCCATACTTCATTCTGCCTTCTGAAAGGAATGAGCCAGTAGTTGAAGAAAATATTTCAGCTGAATTTGGCATTTTTGTCCTTTTGAACTTCACTTTGAAAAACACTCTCAGACAAGGAGGATTAGAAAACACAGAGCTGAACTTCGCACTTCTGTCCTAGGTCTTTTGAAGCAAACAACATTACAGGTTACAATTTAGCCAGCAAATTAGCCAATATTTGCCAACTCTGATCCACAAGTCTAAAGGTTTTCTCTAATGCAAGACAGATTTAAAATATTAACAATAGAGAAATAATAGCCCAGTTCCTTAAAAAAAAGTTGCATATAATATTTATGTATGAAGGCTACACTTATCTTTTAATAATCTAGTTCCTTATGCTTTAAAAAATAAATTAAAATCCACTAGGCATTAGATGAGTACATCAGCCACATTTATCACCCCACATGTATTTACATTCTTGGTGCAATAATTGATAAGCAAATTTATCTCAAATCTTTTACAAAATGCGTCAAATAAAGTTAATTCTATGTCATTAAAAAATTTAATATGTGCAACATTAAGCACTTCAAGTAAGAAAAAGGATGGTGTTAAATTTTGTATGAAAAAATGGACTTTGACTTTGCATTTCATCATTCAAATCATCAATTTCACTTTATTAGAAATTTTGAAGACATGAAGAACTATTAAAGGATAACCTAAAATACCTAGATTTTTCAATTTTACTTATTGTAGAGAAATAACACACTTTTTACAAATCCATTAATATAGTGGCAAATTTAGGCAACACTTGGTAGAGAAAAGCGAGCACTTACTAATATTGATAATTCTTATAAACAATCCTTTTTACTAGATACCTACAAAGGAATGTCTGAGAATAGCAACTGTGTGTTAGGCTGCCTAGATTAATGACTGACTTCTATGTACAGTAAGCTGAAACTTGTTCTGGTTACAGATATCCCCTCCTTTCAGAAAGTTCATATTACACCACTTCACCTGTACAAAATATCTACATTAGAACTTTTGGTAATGTACATTACCTACATTAGGTAATGGCTTTTCTTGGAAAAGTGAAAACCCTTTGGACTTCTTTCAGTTAACAAAAACAGGTACTAAGGTAGTACCATAACTTTACAACATTTTGACTTAAAAAAGGCTTGTAGGAAGGTTCTACTTTCAGATATCGGGGGGAAACCTGCGTCATATATGTCCAGTTACAAAGTAGATCTTCTTAGACCTAAAATCTTCCTTCTGCTAACGTTTAATCATTCTACACCTATTCCCAACCCACTTTGCTCCTAGAAAGTAAAATTATGCATAATTCACAACAATTTAAGACCATTTCAGTCTTCTCTAAATGAATATTACTCACCTCTTCTTTTCCACTATCTGGCACTCTGCAGTACACTTCCCCTGTAGATGGATCATAAGAATCTATATATGAGTTACAAGGCACAAATTTTCCATCTATGAAGTTTTCCAGCATCAAAAGTGCCTTCATTCCAGCCATGTTAAAGGAAACTCCCTTGTCAGTGAGGTATCCCCACTGCTTTCCCCTGACTCCAGTCAGTCTCCTCCTCACGTCCTGCCCCAATGTCCTTGTTTGCCAATCAGTGAAAATGGGAAGTGACTGCCCATCTCAGTGGGTTTTCCAATCTCCAAACTCTGATCAAGAGTTTCTCAGATGTTTCACCGACTGCCAGTACATTAAGAGAAATGGATAATAATATATTAAACCAACACCAGCGTATTTTCATGGCCCTTTAAAATTGACAAAAGGTGTTTGTGTGTATTATTTTACTGAGTTCACAGTGGAAACTGTTCACTGTTCAACAACACTGATTAAATGCCAGATCCTGAAGCAAGTCCTTCACATGAATTTGTTCACAACCATCCTATATAAAGTACATGTCATTACTTCCTCTCTTTTGTAGAAGAAACTGAGCCTCAGAGAAGTCAATTTGTCTAAAATCACATGGTTAGTAAGGGATGAACCTTAATCCTTTTGTCTCCCAAATCACGTGCTTTCTCCTCAACACATCACTGCCCTGGCCCACAGAAGTGACTGAAGGCAGGTCCTCTCTCTCCGTTTGCTCATCTGTTTCTCTTTACAGCGCTGCCTCCTCCCTGAACTGTCTCTCCATCTGGAAACCAGGGCTGCCAGCAGCAGTTCACATAGTCCCAGATATGCCATGAGATGAAGATACAAGCAAAAATATGTATGATACACAACACACAAGGGATCTGTATCATCATGTATGTAAGAATTCCTGCAAATTGGTAAGAGAAATAAACAGCCCAAAAGAAAAACTAGGCAAAAGCCTTAAAAAAAAAGCAATTCATAGCAAAAGGAATACAATTGGCTAATGAATGTATGCAAGGATGCTCCGCCTCGTTGTTACTCAAAGAATGTGCAACACAAGGAGGCGCCCTGTCTTGCCAGACTGGAAAACATTTTTAAAGATCAGTGACATCTGCTTTGTGAGGGATGTGCAAAACATGTGCTCTCCCACTCCACTGATGCCCTCCCTGCTTCCAGTTGAATCCGTCTCTCTNCCCCCTCAAAAAAAATTCCCTGTGCAACTAAGCTTAAGTTCTCCCTCTGTGGATCTAAACATGACCTATGATGCTCTGCTGAACAAGGCCACTTTCCTGGTCTTTTCTCCTTTGCACCTCAAAGCTCCTGCCGAAACTTTGAAATTGTAACTCATTTTAACACAGTCAAATTCCTGAGGCTCCCTCTTCCCAGCCAGTAAGAAGCAGAGAAGCAATATAAAGAAGAAATTTTTTTTCTCAGCTTAAAATTCTTAATATTTCCTCTTCCAGGATACTTTATTTTCCCCTTCGCTCTTTTGTGAATGATTTTGGGTTACATTGATATATATGACCAGGTTTTCTGTTGAAAACATGGTCATATATAAATGAATATATATGTACATGGACCAACAAATAGACACTATACACAGCAGCCAGGGTCCATTCACGAAAACAGAAACCATGGTGGTTATTTCAAAATTGAATGCAGGGAAATGGCAACATATGTTTTGGAAGGTATAAAGAGCTACCAGGCTTGCTGAGGTATCCCAGATATTAGTAACTGCAAAAAGCAGCTTCCATCTTTAAAATAAGGGAACAAAAAGGAAGAGATGGCCTATCAGGGTGTGAAGGAGACCTGCGCCCCCTTTTCTCCAGCCGGTACTAGTTCCCCTGAAGGCCTGTGGTGTGCCTGATGCCACAGGGCCAAGAGCATCCGGAGGGTGGAGCAGGAGCTGTTGGAGTTGCTGGAGAGAGGCCTACAGGGACTAGAGACAGAAGGTAGTGCCTCCTCCCTCCCACTCTTTCCAAGCCTCTTAGTGCCTCACATAGGCAGAAAGCCAGCTGGCAGGGGATCAGGAGAAATGCAGTTTGCAGATCCCAGGCCTGGCCTCACAGAGCAAAGTACCAAGCAGTGAGCTTGAAGCTGAGAGATGATAAATAAGTACCCAGCCCACACAGACTTTGTAGCCTGTCTTCCTTGTTCTCCCACTCCCAGCTTCTGGTGCCTTCTTTGCCCCTTTAAAAACCCCTTAGAGCCCACTTTCCTCCCAAGTACTCCATGCTCAAACACAATGTATCACCCTCCTTTTCCCCAACCCACTTGAGATTGCTCTCACCCTAGCTATAGAGAAAAAAGAATCTGATTATATGACTGAAGCAATTGAGACTAATAAGGAGATTAATCAAAATTTTGTCTTTTTATATAGTTCTTCATAATCCAAAAGATTTTAATTAGAGAACTATCTAAGGGAGCTTTTTAAAGAAAGGAACTTTCCAAGGACACGATGGGGGAGGAGTTTTCTATCACATAGTAGCAGATGAGTGTCAGAAACTGGACACAGTACCTCTAAAGCATGGTTCATACTTCTCAGAACTTCCCCACAGGGGAATAGGCCCAGCTTCTGAGCAGACATAGCAGCATCCTTGTGCCATTTGCTGTTTAAGCTTGACCTTGTCCATTTTGGTATAATGTTGTGGCCCTTCACCTTCCTTCCTTCTCTGTCCTATCAATCCTTTTCTGTCCACACTGCAGGTCAACCACAGACCTGACTCTGGAACCAGAACTCAATTGAGGTGGAGAAAGTTCCCAAGGACCAGCTTCACTGAGTCTGGCCTTGTCCTTTGACACTCCTGTCCTCATACCTGAGCCCTGACATGCCTCCAAGTTCTTCCCTCTCAACTTGGGGCCAATCGTTCTCTTGCCTGTTTCCCTTAAGGGGACACAAAATCCTGTATCTGGGCCTAGGTGTGGTTGCATCTGCCTACCTCTGAGTATCACCTGCTCCTGAATGCTCCTAGCTGGTGCACCTGGCCTCCAAAGTGTGTGTCCTGCAGTCTGGGGACCTATTGTTGCCATGCCTCTGGAGTATCACTCCTACCCACAGATGATGCATACGACCATCAGCAGCAACCAGGTCTTCACCCACCATACTCCAGTGGGTGCATTCAGAGCCAGGTCCTACATGGTAAAGATAGAGGACACAGGCCTTAAGCTTAACTGACAGAAATTATCAATGTGACATACTAATTATACTAATGTTCTAAGTATAATAATATTTTAAGCATCCCAACATACTGATATCCTAGTAGTTCTAGAATATTCCGGAAGAGAATAGGTTGCTTTCACCTCATGGACAAAAGTTTGGACAGGAGAGAGGCAATCCCTGAGATAGAGAGCTCTGAATGTTTTGGAGCTCTGAGTCACTCAGGTGGGCTGCAGTCAGCTTGCTAAATGAGCATCTCCTATTCGCCCAGAACCATGGGGAAGGAGTAGGTACTTGATCCTGGAATTCCGCCCTTCTACTAGGGGACATAAGAGTGGCAAACAAAAATCACAATGAAGAGCTCTGCCTGAGTTAAGTGAAGGGATCAGAGGATAGGGCTTGGAAATAGATAAGGAAGGATGGCGAGGAAGTTAAAAGACAGACAAGAAGTAGGTAAGTCCAGGTGAGGAAATAGTTGCACAAGATCCCATCTTTCTTCTGTCCCCACAAGAACCTTGACCACCATATTATCTCCTCTCTGACCCTTTACCTTTCTCCTCTCTCCTGATTCTGCAGCCTTTAAATGAACTCAGATCTCCCCAAGATCATATCACATTATATGACCAGTGTTGAGGAAAATAGGAGCCTGGCAGTGAAGCTGTGCACTGTCTCCAGCATGAAAACACTACTCCAAGAATCACAAAAATTAAGCCATTTAAAGAGGTATCTATCTAATTGAAAGTACAAAGACCCCAATCTGTGGAAGCAGCTACTACTGTCTAATCCCACAGGGTCTTGATCAGTATTTGTGACTGGAAACTTGGGGAGGATCACCCATTAGAATCAATTAAGGTGCAGTTTTAGTGGGTCCAATGGCCAAGGGTAATCAAAGAACATATGATGCCTTACACTGATGTATTAAGGGCAAGGATTGCTCAGCAAAGTGGACTATTTAGAAATAACTGACCCACAAAATCGTGTAATGAGTGTGCACCAATACTTTTTTCTTCTCAAAACTATCAGGATATCAGACCCCATTATTCCCCACTCCATAGTGGCAGATCCCAACTCCGTGGTCAGATCCAGTTTGAGTAAGGGTAAGATTTTGAGAATCAATTTCACAAGCACTTTACTTAGCTAAGAACCATTTCTCACTATCCAAGAAATTTAACAGAATTTTTTCCAGCATATCTGGAATAGAAGAGGTGCTGACCCTGTAACTGGGCTTCTTGGTCCATGTACGCAATTCACCAAGAATGATGTCACGGATTTCTCTACTTCTTCATGTTGGGAAGGAATCTCAGGTGCCCATTGACCACCATCTATGATCAAAAGAGGACAGATGCAGAAATAAAGCTAAACAGAGAACCCAGCTCCAGGCAGAATAGATACTAGAAATCAACATAACACTTTTAAGGTGTTAGAACAACAAACCAGAGGTAGGGTCTCTCTGTGAAATGTGGGATTCAGGGGTGACATAAAGTTTTCCTGAAGGAGAGATCTCATACCTTGGAATGGATTCTTCAAGATTGAAGGTATGGCTGGAAGCTGAGCCAGGAAAGTTGAAGTAATGCTCTGCAGCAATCCTCCATGCACTGAAGAACTAGGACAGTGGGGAATGGGACTGGGGATGGAATTTCCCCCAAGCCCTAGACAGCAGAGGGCCAAGCAGGCGAATCAGAGAAGAGCCTCTCTCCCATAGCAGGAACGAAGCAGGGTTAGAGGCATTTTTGACTCAAAAGATGAAATGTTAATAGGGGCTGACTGGATGGTAGTAATCTATATATGTTAATTTCTTGATTTTGGAGGCTATATTGTGGTTATGCCAAATATCCTTTGCAGGAAATACGTAGAATATTCTGAAATAGCAGGGCATCACGCGGCAACATAATTTCCAATGGTTCGCAAAAGATCTTTGTACTGTGCTTGAACTTTTCCATCCATATATTTGAGATATTTTCCCCCAAAAAATTAATAGAGTAAGTGGAATTGGATTCTTACCTCATGCAAAGCACATATATTCATGCAACACATA